CTATCCAGTTAGCTTACGGAACGTCGGTGGTTCTACTCAGGTACCCGTTCGTGCCTGAAATAATGCACGGAAGGGCACCTGAGGTCTTCCTCCGCCAGTAAAGCTGGAACGTCGCGATATGACCTATACTGTGTCGATGTGACGTAAAACCCAAAACAAACAAACAAACGTAACATGTAAAGCCTTTAATAGCATTCGGCACGATATGGCCAGTTATGTGTTGACGTGCCGTAAAAATCCAAACAAACAAACAAACCTGAGTTTTCGCATATGGTATTGTTATGTGCTTATGGCCATTTATTTCTTCATACTTTGTTCCTAATAAAGATTGGAAGATGATTATCTGAATTTATCAAAACTAATACACACTTTGAATCCGTCCACAAATATTTATGAACTATAGATAACTGTAATTGTTCAGACACCACATGCCAATGAGGACTGCCATTAACTCTAAATGTCGTATTGTCATTCCTTTGAACTAAACGCGATTTTGCAAACATAAGATTCACTTTAAATTGGCTTTTATGTGCTTGATGTAGATAAATAGCTGCTGAATATGCAGAAAACGCATCACAAAAGCACATTCATCTGTAAGTTATATATTTTGTTTGTTTTTAGACACATCTATTAATAGGGTATCTTGAAAGTCTTTCCATGTCAAATCGTAAAGATAACCATTCTTTATTATATCATCATCCATAACAGGATTTATAACAGGATCATCCCAGTCACCTTTTCTGCTCCATAATTTTTGGAGTAGAACCTTCCCATTCAACACAAAGGAGTGAATAAACCTAATGGGCCAAACACTGAGGCAATCGCTTTTAAAATAAAAAACTTTGCTTGTCTGATGACTAATGTATCATTCCTATGATTCCAAGCGTGTCCCATCACATTTGTCTCTTTACTTTCAGATGTCATCCTCAGTAAAACATCCATTTACAGTATCATTATTTCATGACCATTCTCTGAAATTCAAAGAGGCGTCATTAAACATTGATTTTGCTCCTTTAAAGAATTCAATGGCTTCACTTTCACTTTTTGTTCGTAATAATGGTATCTACGTTAATGTCCCGTTTAAGTTTGATTGCGTTGTCACGTGTATACGTTCCGAGATGTGATTCTATAGTTGCTCCTAAAAGAAAATGACTCGATATCACTCCGAAGGGCACACTACAAAATCTGTATTCTTGAATTTTGTTTGGACTAACAGTAAATTTTTGAAGGTCTTTAATCGACATGAATCCACATGATGTTTCTTTCACTTTTTTGAAGTCCAATTTGTAGACAAGCCTTTTCTAAATCTGATACCAATGCTATTTTATGTAATCTGAATCGCATTAGAATTGCACACAAATCATGTAACATGACAGGATCTCGTAATAAGCACTCGTTAAGACTTTTGTAATCGGGTTTTGTTGTTTAAGTTTCGGGTTTTTTTTGTAGCGTGAGAACTGCATGGTGAGGTATATAATGTTTTATTTCCTTCTTTCATTGTGTCATCAACTTTTTCAATTATTCTTTTTTAAGCTGATCTTTAATACCCTTATCATACTTTGTCATAAGATCATTCCTTTTACACACGATTTTAATCTACCATATGCTATTTCTCTATTAACTGGTAAAGGGGGATTTTTCCCGCCATTGTCAGGTGACTTGATATCTGTTGTCTTTAAAAGTCAAAGTATTTTGAAAAATTGACATTGACTTTTTATAATCTGAGAGTGAAGGGTTATCTGTAACACCGATAGCCTCTATATTCCAAAAGTCCTGAAGATCAGGTTTGGGTTTGATTGAATCATCGGCACACTGAAAACAACTTCGCTCTATGAAATTGTTACATAGTTAATTAGTATAGTTAATAACCTGATAATATCGCGATATTCACGACACCGCCGAAAAAAGTTACTTTTTCAAGGCGACACAAAAGCCTGTTTTTTCAATTCTTCTAACACTACGGAAACCATTATTATTATCTTCTTTTCGGGCTTCACTACTTTCTTTAATTTTCTACAATACATCGTGTTTAATGTGTAAGACCGATAAAAAATGCAATCCCATTTTTTTGTGTTACTTATTTGATCATTATTGTTTTGCCATTGATTAAAACATTGTTGTATTTTTCTTATCTTCCGGGATCATTGATACCAATGCTTAGTTCAATACTTGAGGATCGAATACCATTAAATCTGATACTAGGGATGTGAAAAAATGTCATTTTCTGCACAGTCACAATAAAACCGAGTTTTAGATACTTATCTGTTTGTTTTTGTTTACATTGCCTTGAAAGGTTAACAGCTTTCCAGCATATTTAAACATGAGTATTATTAATTTAATTTTGAATTCATATAAGTTTTAATCTATTAACGTATATTTCCAGATATGTGTTTGTTTATGTACTGATGTAGTCTTTATACAACAATATCATGTGTCGTCATTTATAAAATTAACAAATTACAAAAGTACTTGAAGAATATCTGTATAAGTGTAAATTGCATCCAGCTGGACAGTACTTAATTTAATGTTTTTCACACTATAGAAAGTGTTAAATATTTTATTTGAATAGAATTTATCTTAACAAAGTAAACATGTTTTTGAATTTTTGGAAAAGTACGCAAAAGAACTTTGTTTCGTTTTGATTGGCAGTCAGATTGTCTCTAAGTGTATAAGTGTTGGTCTGTATAAAAAAAGCAAGCTATAACATAAAGTTTAAATTGTAAGTACATGGCCTTTCAGTATCACATAAGTATATAATAAAAACTTATATCGAAAGACGAATCTATGTAGTATTTTAAGAATAATGGATTAATTGTGGAGAGTTCACCACCTCAATGAATTCACAGTTTTACTGGTAAATTGAAATTTTGTTTCCATGTGGCATACATTTTTTTAGCGATTCGCAGCATACGGTATATATGTTGATCATGTTTGAGTTTCAGGCATAATTCCCATGGTATCATATATTTACTCACACGTTGTGATTTTATCCATTACTAGCAGAAGTTTAAGCTACGTATTAATAAAAGTTTAGTAACTTTATGGTCTAAGCTTACTACTTACAATATCTGATTCAAGTTCTTCCACTTCAATATTAAATGAATTTTGGGGCGACAGTCCCCCAAGTGGTGAAGTATATCATGTGGTCGGTATTCGTTTTATAACTCGTATCATTTTATGTATCATTTTGTCCTCGTATTTGTATAATATCTTGTGTAATTGTCTCGTTATTCATGTATTATATTTCTTTACAGTTCGATATGCAAGCAAACATCCTGTATCATTCCTATTTCAGCACCTTTTTATCTAAACAAGTGATAACTAGACATAAATTGTATACCGGGCCTCTGTTTTTACACACTTCCCGGACAATCCATCTCACGCATGCGCACTTTGATAACAATCTTTTCATGAATTTTGCCAGAAATTGTTGCTCTTTGTTTTTTTTTTCAAATTATCAAGGCGTTGGTTCATGTCTTTAACATGTATAAACAACAATTTCATACATTGATGGAGGACTTTGCGATATACACTTAACCAAATGAAAGCATATACGCTCAGTTTTATTGTATTGTTTGGTTATAACTATATACAAAATCGGCTAAATTAATAAATGTCACCCTGTAAAGATAAATATAACACTATTGTTAAGTGTTTATAGCATAAACAAGACATTTTAGTATGAGAAAATATCAACAAAATTGTTATTATACATTATCATTTATTTAGGACCGTGGGATTAACCTTAAACATTCATATATTTTAATTAATGTTTTTATTACATAGTTGCTTATTAAAGGAATATATTAATAGATTATATATTGTACAAGTATTAAAATAACAAATATTTTGTAACATGTACTTCTTTTGTGAAGGATGGATAAATTTTTTCATCTCCGGGGCAGTATATCTGCATAAACAGCATTCTTAAGCAGATTGTGAATACACTATCATTCTGATATACTTTAATACGACTTGACTTTATAAAGTGAAATTGATATGCAGTTTTTCGATGCAAATAGAATCACATGTATTATTTGCGTTGAATAAAACGACAAAACGGAGGACAATATTCTTGCTACAGTATAAAGTATTTAGGGGTGTCAAGGTTTGCAAAAATGCAACCGTTTTTACAGCGAGTTTTTAAACGTGTATAATGTTTAATCGACCATACTAAAAGATTAAACATTAACTTTGTTTTAATGATAAGAAAGCACATTCTGTACGTATTTTGTTATACTTGACAATAATTACATAACATAGATATCTGATTATGGAGTAATGTGTCAGTTAGGACTGTACCGTATACGAACAGATAGCGTGCAGTCGGGAAAAAATAATTAAATACAAACAGAATGTCATATCTTATCATAAATAAACAAAGTAATGTTGAACACTAATCTAAGACTTCTTCATCTGTTGGTCTTTACCGACCTAAGCTGTTAAAACGGGTAAGCGTGAGACACTTCAACATGTAATGAAAATAGAATGAAAACCAAAAGACATGTTTTATATAAGCTGCTTTTTATAAACAAACAGTAATTATTTGAGATTTAAAAAAGAACGCTGTAGTTTTATAAGTTATGATGAAGAAAATCTATCAACATCAGAAGTTAAAAATTTTGTACTTTTTTCTAAAGCATGTTTAACGCATTTAAAAATGAATATTTAAAAATAATTATTCAGACTAAATCTATTGCTTTTACCGGGATATAATGTTCTTTGAGCATTGTAATACATGGACTTGTGCCTGGCAAATTTTTTAAAGCTTCTTTTCTAATAAAACTCTAAAAATTTACAATTAATAAATCAATATTCAAAGAGGGAGACGGTAGCCTAGCGATAAAGGTACATGTCTTTCACCGTTTAAGCACTTCTTTGCCACGACCATGTTGACTTACCTAACATAAAACCAGTACCAGTTTGTTTCAGGCAGCACAATATAGAGTGGTTCGAATGAATAATTCTTCTTTGCAATCAAACTAATATAAATAATAATATAATAATGACAAGAAGGTTTATTTACGTAAAAATTACTGAGGTGAAATGAATCATTCATCTTATTTTTTTTACAAATTTATTTTGTTTGGTTGGCTTTTACATTGCACCAACAAAGAAGATGTCATATGGCGACTTTATAGATTACTTGTTGAGGAAGACGTCAGATGCCCTTCCGTGCATTATTTTATTCACGAACGAGCACCCACGTAGAACACCGACGTTCCGTGAGCAAGCTGGAGAGTGAAGTACCACACAAGATTCGAAACTAACATGCATTCATAATCGAGTGCCTGTTTTGTTGGTATACATCGTCATTGCAATTTCAGACAAATTATATTAAAGCATTCAACACTTGAATGGAAGACTTCTATTCTTCGTTTAGAAAGGGATATATAACGAGACTGTTTATATTGTACCAAAAAGTATTGACGCATATTCTTGTAAAACAAAACTTCTTCCTGTGAAAATTAACAAATACCTTATGATTCGACATTGAAGTCTTATATTGCGGATAGAAACATACATGTACTTTCTGCTGGAATAAATAACTTTGTTATTTTTACTTTGATGTTGCTTTACAATGACAACAACAAATTGTAAAAGTATGGCAGCATAAGAAATGGACCAGTGTGTTGAAAACTCCACATGTACAAAAACAACACCTATCATTATTTTCCTTGCCACATCTGTGTCTAAGTAAACTGCTTTTTTCATCAAGCGAGGCACTGTAATACCTTCCACAATTCGCATTTTCTTCGAAATCTTTACACATGAAATACGCCAGCGTCTTTGGTATGTCTTTCGTTTCCTCTTCTTCTTCTTGTTCGTACGATTTCTATAACAGATCAGACGTTAAATAATTCGTATTTAAGCTAGGATATTCAAACAATAAAAGAGTTAAGCAATATACTTACCTTTTTAAGGTTAACTATGGTAAATTTAATTTCTAAGAGACAACAAGATGTAAAAATTGCTTTAATTTTTCATAGAAAGAATACATTTTAACAATTAATTAAAAAAACATAATTATTAGTTATCAATAGCACAGAATCTAGGGAAAAAAGTATAACATCTTAAGAATGACTCGTTCAACTTAAATACAACTATAATTAACTTTACCTTAACGACTTCATAAGCGCTGTTGAACAAAGCTATCAAGAGGTTTAAGACAAACACAGTGAAGATGATAACAAAGACAAAGATGATAACTCTTGAGAATAGATATATTCTTTGTTGGTCTCCAGCCTCTTCCCTTTTTAGAAATTCAAACGATACAAAAATTTCGTCACCATTTATCAACGAAAATAATGTTTCCGCAGTTGTAGAAAGATTGTCAAACTGAAAATTTAACAGTTTTACTCATTGTTGTTATACATCAACCTCAATCACTTGACAGTTTTGGTGAAATATTCACTTTTTTATTTTTCGTGTAGTACTCGGTTAAGATTACATTGAAAGAGTAGAATTTTATCAACTTTAACTGTTTGCGCTTCGACATAATAAGCATTATAGCTTGTGTTTATAATTTTATTTTTATCCTTTTTTCTGCATCAAAGAAAGTTTTACTGTCTCAGTGGAGCACTTGATTTAATTTCAAGCCATTTGTATTTATGATCTGAACAATTCCGAAAGTCAGTGGATTTACGTTAGTACACGAGCTTGACAAATGACAGAAACGGGAGATTGAAGTCTCTCTCAACTTAACAGGAGAAAAGTGGCCATATGGCCTGAACAGTGTCGGTGTGACGTAAAACACTTTAATTGAATGGGATTAGATTTATACAAGACTAAAATACCTTAATATTGTATGGTCCAAGTACAACATATATACAAAACAGAAAACCCACAAAGATGATTGTTACACATGACAAGAAAAAGAGGACATCTACAGCTGATCTTTGGAGTGTTTTGAACAACAACTGAAACAAAAATAATGGACCTCTAAAGAAACAACATTTCTTCATACACTGGTTACAGCACAGATTATTATATTTAGATTAGTAGTTTTTTTATTGCTGATTATTATATAAATTAAAAGTAAATAGCAAAATCAAAATATTGCATTTACGACTGTAAACAGGATGAAAGTATTTTGTTTTGTATTCTGTACCTTAATCTAATTTCTAATCAACAATTACCAAGACTTACTGTCTTTTATTATTATTTGTTATTTGTTAAATTACTGTCGATTTTTACTATTAAGAAACTAGTATGTTCAACTTTAAATATCAATTAGATGTTGAAACGAATACAGAAACATCCATTGTTTCTTAATACTTGTTTTATTTTATGTTGAACAAATGTTCAAATTAAGGATTGGGGCTTATCTATATTTACATACCGTGAATTTGTGATCTTTTAATGCCAATCCTATATTGAAATGAATACAGAAACATCCATTGTTTCTTTATACTTGTTCTATTTTAAAGGAAAAAATGTTCAAATTGAGGATTATTTGTATCTACTTACCGTGAACTTGTGATTAATTTTTATAAATCGTAACATAGAAAACCATGTCAATAAACATCCTGAGCCAATATACACAACATTTTTGTCCCATTCTTTCAAAGGCTGTTTAAAATCATTGTCCTCCTCACCGAGCTTAAAGTATAAATAAAGTATTAGTAGAAGCAGTTAAGGAGGCTTAATAATAGACATAAGAACGGTATGTATTAAAAGGTATTTTTTTTATTCGCGTGATTTTCTGTTCCGTATATACTGCTGCAAGTAGCCTTAAGCACATTCTTTCAAACACCTGAAATGCTTTGGACTGGACAGAGCTCTAAGCAAATTTATTCATATATAATCTTAAAAGGATACCGTATATCAGGTTATTTTCGCGTACGGCAAATTTTCTCGATTTTTGCAGTGATCTTAATTTAGCGAATCTAATTTTAGCGATTGTATTGTACATTGTTTTTTTTTTTAGATGACAATGAGAGCACTCTTTTTGACAGCGAGTTATTGTTTTCACATTTGAAACTTTATTTTCCATTTAAGTATTGATGTATTGTTCGGTATTTTACACTGTTTGCCTCGTCTCACCTTATTGTTACATGTAATATGTTATTGTTAAGATGGTTATGTTTGCAAGGTGTGAATTATCTTATTATATCGGAAACCAGGTAAAAAGGCGTAAACAAAAATACATGTTTCAAATTGCTAAATGTGTCGCTTGATATATTTTATGTCCCTTAAAAATATTTATAAAAAGACCAAACATATTTAATTCAACCATGGATATTGATATTTGTTAAATTGATTTGTAGGTATCCGAAATCCCTGTATTAAATTGAATGAAAATTCAGCGAATCTTTTTTTTGCGATATTCATTACACGCGAATAAAGCGAAAAATAAGATACTCCCGATAAAACCTAATATCCGTTTTTTTTTCCTCCAAAAACGACAATTAGTTTAACTGTGTATCACATACCCGTTCCGCTTTTGCTGCTCCGAAAAAAATATATTGCGCGTCATTTGTGTTATAGAAACGTAGTGTTAAGACGCGCTAAATGTAAGCGTAACACCATAGGCACGTCAATGAAAAAATATTCTTTTTTACTTGAAATAGTCTTTATTTTGTATATGTGATAAATATAATATTATATTCGTGTTCATTTCTGTGTTTATTGAACTCGCTGAAAAATTTGCAAGAGACTCGCATAAAACAATATTCAACTCAACTCGTTAAACAAATTCAGTATTGCAATCATTCAATATTGCCTATATTTCTATCATAAATTTCTTTAAAATGCCAAACTACTTGCTTACTTTCTCATTTTCACAGTGAACAAAACATTATGGTGAAACGTACTTGCATTGTTTATCTTTTTTAATATATATAGTTGCGACGTTGAAAGATAAAACCAAAGGAAGCATCGACGTATGCCTTCTCATAAGAATTAAAACCTTAAAAAAAATCGCTTAGCTTTGACTTTAAATTGCAAATACTTTGACCATTCATTTAATAATAATTTATGAACGTGTGAACCTTTTTTGTTTTATATAAATTTGTCTTACCGTTGACGCTATCCATACAACACCCATCAATGTGAAGACATCACCAATAATGGATGTAATATACCACCATTTTATATTACATAAATACTCACTCCATGGAAGATTATCTTCTTCGCACGACCCACCGTAGATATGATGATAATTAACCTTCATGTATAAATATGTTCTCTACTCAAAAAAAAAAGATATAACTTTAAAGATGAAAATTAAAATGAAAATTTTATGCGCGATATCTCTATGAAAGACAATTGAATATGATCAAACTTGTTGGAAGGTATGTAACACAGGCGACTGTGTATTTCATTGAAACAGAATACCAACAATATACATTAGATAATTACTCAGACACTCTAAGGAATATTATTAGTTTCGCTGGAGGAATTCTTGATAACGTCATATGCCATAATATTTTCTCATGTAGAAATATGCTATCTTATTTAAAATGAACCAAACTACAACTCAATATAAATTATTGTCCTTAGTATAGCTTGTTATAGGTCAAAGACAATTAAGCGGTGTGTCTTTTAGGATCCTTCTCAAGCGTAAAAAAGAGTAGTACAATGTACAAATTAAGGTATTATAACGTCACATGCCTTAAGCTCGGCAGACATAATCTATTAGAATACCAATATATGAATCAAATAACTTGGACTCTACCAGCAATGAAATGTTCATGATGTGACAAATTACTTTAATGCGACAGGTTACTCACATACAATGTATAGATTCCCCCAATAAATAAAAGAGCATCACCAATCACAGTGGTCCATGACAAGAATTTAACTCGCTTGTCCACATAACCGGTGTATCCTCTACATTGTGGAGAATCTACAATACGAAAAGTTATCCCAATACTGGATTAAAACTTATGAAATTCACGTATTATTTTGATTCAAAGCATATGCATGAATAAGCGTTGTCAGGGGCAAGACCCTTTATACTCATTGCAAAGTATTGGTTAGGCACAGAAATGACTTTTCATCAAGAAAGTTTTTCAATAAGCTTAAAGCTTTTAACACAATTGAAATAAAATAAATTCGTATAAACTAAACTATGCATTATTGTGATGATTACTTTGTAATACGAATTAACCATTGTTAGAAATAGTTAAGAACTTAAACAAACTATAATTGTGATGGTGAAATATTATCTGAATTATTATAAAATTTCAAAGCAAGTATATATGTTATACCGATTTATGAATATTGCGTGATAGAAAATAATCCTGCAAATTGTATGTTCTGTTTTTAACTTATAATAAATTTTTGATAATAAGATCTTCCACAAACATTAATACAAATTGATGTTTCTCTGCTAACCTATTTTGATACAAGCAATGTTATGATGTAACGGTGTTTTCTATGCGGTATATCATTTTAAATGCTACAGTCCTAGCCTGGACAAGAACAAATACCTGTCATTTTGGTGAAATGGATACATAAGGGATAAAAATATTTTTACTGACTTATAGGTATTTGAAAAGATCTATGCAACATGAGCATAATTATATAGTTCATCAAACATTTTTGGAATCCATTCATCACAATCACTTGCCATTTACAGCAAGTGCGAGTGGAATATTGCAATAAAAAGCTCCTTGTAATTCCGATCAATACATTATTGTCACAATTCAAATTGTATCATCTTTTGCAATCACAGAAAGAAGATGAATTTCTACATAGTCATTATTCCCACTAGAAGTTCAGCTAGACATATTTCTTCACAATATACAACTGAATTCATAGATGGAAAACATAACAAAAATAACACTCCCTTTTATAAATTATTTGTCGTGGAAATAAAAACTTTTCTAACCCTTTTGCGAAAAATTCATTTTAGAACATGATATTGGCATTGTATAAGTGCTGAGACCAACGTTAACCTGCCCATTGTGGTTATTATCATCAAATGTTACCTGTAAACAAAAACAAAATACTTTTTTACAATTTCAAAAATAATTATCACCAAAATATAAACTTACAGAATTTGTTATCAGCTATATTTATCAGCAAATATTTTGTATATAAAGTTAAGGAGAGAAAAATGTAATGTAATCACAACCTGTCAATTGACCTCGTAAAATAAACATACTAGTATATATAATCCTATAACATTGATTCGCTCAATTACAATGACAATAAGAAATATATGTTTCGCGTGAATGAAAATAAAAATTTTCAACGAAAAGAGAGCACATATCGTATGCAAAATGATGCGATTGAGTTTTCTGTTTTATGTTTCGTTCACCGATTCATTATATCTGTGGTTTCTGCACACACAAAAAATGCAATTATCCATAACTACTTACGTTTCCATATATATGCTGACATCTGAAATCGTTGTATGACTTGCTTACTCTTAGAGTGTGCAATGAAAACATTATGTTGAAAAGCAACATTCTGCCAAGAAACAAACATAAAATTAAGATATGATCCTTAATGCAATTAATCAATTCAATTTCTAATAAAGTTATATACCTATGTACTCTTTATCAAATTGTTTTTAAGTTTTTATAATTATAGCCATCCGTACTCTGAGACTCATTTTTTATATATTTATATTGAAATCATTTTAGCTTTGAATTGACTATTCCAATTTCAAAACAGGACAAATGCATTATCCTTATTTACATCGTTAAAGGCTAATTATACTAACTCTGATGATCGCATGAACAATGGAACAGATCTAATAAAGATTTATTCACAATCACTAGTATGGCATTTTACTCAATATATCAGTTTTTTATTTAGCCACTTAAGATTTTCGCGTTTTTTCTTCCAAACACATGTTTTTGAAATGTCTGTTTATCGACACTTAACTTTGTTGTTCTTCAATTACTCGAGGCCAAATTTGATAAAAAAAAAACCAAACCCATCCTTCAATTTATTGTTGGTTCTTATTCTAGAATAATATGGGGACACTAAAAAGGTTATCGGTAGGTTTCCAAAAACCGATGATTACTCATTTGCCTACCCATGCTTACATTGTTGCAAGGTGAAAAGTTCTTTATGACATGTGCTAAAGGTTCAATTGCTTTTTAACCTTAAACGAACTTTAATGAGGTCCTGATCCTCAAAACATAAAATTTGTAATTCTAACATATATCAGCTAGGACACTCAATACAGACAGATATGCAAAAATTAGTAATAAAAAAGTACCCAGAAAATGAATTGAAAATCGTATATTTGTGCTATTCTTTGCCCGATTTAGTAAAGCTTAACAATTTTGGATCATTTTTCACAATTAGAATAACTATCATGCAAAATAAGGGAGTGAGCGAATGATCTGAATGTTTGCATATATGTTATTGGTCTAGACCTACATTAATCTACTAATTAATTTCAAGTCCTATCAGAGTCCCTTTTATGTGTTATTGGTACATAATTAAACAAAAATATAGATGTTTACCTGTCAAGAGAAGATGAAATATTGAGCATGTCTAGCTCCTCTGTTATATTGTAGCTATATAATGTGTTGCCATAGATATCCTCGTATTTTGACAATCCATAGTATGGCTCAAAGTTTTTATTGACTAAATAGATATATATCTTATAAAGCAAATTGGAAATGATTAAGTAAAAAGTGTAAATAAGCATTTTGTAAAATAAAACAATAAAAATTAAATAACATACCTTTGTTTAATTTATGTAATTTAATTAAACCTCTACCAAATCTACCAATATGTTCTACATTTGTCCGCACATTTATTTATGTTAAGCATTTTGTTATATCTATTCTTTTTACAATGAAAAGTCTTGAGGATATTTCTACTAAGATTTTGGACACTGTTTTCCAGAATGCTTTTAAAATTCAACAATCCCTTCCTCTTCTCGTAAATAATAAGATTGTTATCAAACAACTCACTTACTGTTCGTGACAATTCTGGTAAAATTATGGAATCCATGATCGTGTTCCAGATCAAAATAAACGAGATTTATCGTTACAGAATCACTCTCAAATCTCTTGAAATATCCAGTTGCTGTAACTTCAGCGTTCAAGACCTGGAAAAATGCACGTACAATCTTAAAATAAAGCCTCTAATACCCCTACGTAGAACAGTTGTGTCAATTCAAATAATATTTATATTCAAAATGTAAATTGTAAATAGAAATAACAGTGTGTATCATATTAAATAATTGGCTGGTTCTTCAATTCAACGCTTTAATACATTGTTCCATTGCTGTTTTGATTGTTATGATAACAAGTTAAGCATTAATTTATATTATGTGTGTTTAAAGTACACACATAATTTCAAGGAGTGGTAGTAAGATATTTGTCCAAATAAATATATTTCAGTTCAGTTTGTTCTCAATTTGTAGATGATTTCATAAAAAAGATAAGAATAGACTGATATGAATGTGATTAAATCTTTCTTCTGTTACAGAAATGATAACATTACATTTTCGACGGCATAATTGATCCTCTTTCGTAGATCTTCCTGATTATAAACAGCGAACTTCCCAGTAGATGGAGGATATGGCAACGTCTCAAAACCTGAAACATGTAATGTATTTCCATAAAATATGGTGCAATGCTAAATTGGCACTAGAGGGTAAGACACATTCAACTCCTGAACTGTCATAGCGATGGTTTTAATATTTTGATAAATTCAGAGGGTTTTTTAAATCTTTTTCTGCATAAAAAGGATATATTTGCGGTATTGTCAATCTAAAAGATATTCACTGATTCTTAATGCTTTTATTCTTCATTATGAAATTACCGGAGTTGTCATTATGCTTTTACATTATGGTATTAAGATTTGAAATCATAGGTCTTCAGTTGATATCTTACATCTGTTATTCAGCTAAATAATCGATTAAAATTAATATTAATACCCTTCTGCCTTGTTAATAATGCAAATTAATCACTTGATATTCATGGAACCCTCCGTGTAAAGCCTTTTACTTCAGTCACGTATTTATCAATATATTCTATAAAAAAGTAACAAATAAAACCAATTTAAAACAGACATATCAAACTAAAATAATCTAAACATCAATGAGTTTACTTGTTCCGGCTGTCTAGATTTAAGAAAAATCTTACTTGCATCCCAATGTTTTAATAAGTTGTGATGTAACGCTATGTAACCATCTTCTATGCTACTGAACACAGTTTCACGACAATTTCCTATTTCAAATGTCTGTAAAATAATACGTTTGATAAATAATCTTTCTTTTATTTGTCCCAAACAAAAGTTTTCTTATTGAAAAGGAAAAAGACAGTAAACATGTATCATTTGATCGTTTAACAGAAAATTCAACTGTCATTGAAAAAGTTATTGCCATTTCGAGAATTTTCTATCTAATGTATTTTTTATGATTTTTTGTATTTCTAACAATATCAAAAAATACGGACATATATTGGTGAATATGTTTACATTTTGGTATGATTAAATCCTCCAATGTGACCGGTTTAAGAAATGAAATTATTCTTTACATACCATCACTGTGAGGTACCAAGTCTTTGCGATGAACACAGCAAACCAAACTAGGTGAAAGAGACTTATCCAGCAACCATTTCTCTTCCACTTTATTGGCGAAAATAAGAAGAATCTCAAGGCGAACACTAGCCAGAGAGTGCCTGCATCTTGAAATTTCATTAACATATAAAACTGGGAGTCATTGTATCCAAACATTGAATTTAATATAGAAGGATTTAAGATACTCTTATAAATAAGCATTGAAATTTACAAATTCATATCCACCTAAGGGCATAGTAAATAGAGAATCTCTATCATTCTCAAAAAGCAATTTAAGGGTGGCAATCTAGAAATTTCTTCAACTGTCATTTTCTATTTCAATATGATTGCTGTTACGTCATTCTCTGGACGAACAAGACTCTTCACTCAGTGATTACTTCGTATAACTTTGTTCGCTGGATGTACAAATTATGTGAATACCTTTTTATTATTTATATACATGAAGAGTTCATATACCTTGTACTTGGATTTATCAGTATGTGAACAGACATTGCTGAAATCAAAAACTTAAATCTAATGCGTTAATCAGTACATTGATATTATTAATCTAAAAATTAAAATAATGTTCATTAAAATGCATACAGTCCTGATCTACCATGTCAACTTGTATTAAATTAGTATTTAAAGCTGAATGCCTCCAAATCAGCCAAAATATTCCAAGAAAATCAAATATGAGAAAAAATTACTAAGATTTCAAGAAAAGTATAATATTACAGAAAGTAATATATTCAAGATTCTGGTAATTATTTTCATGTAATGTGCGATTAATGTCTGATTTTGCAGTATTTATCATCAAAGTTTACTGCGTAAACAACGCATTAAGGGACATTTTTGCATATTTCTAAATTCCATTTCACATTTACATGACCGTTTGCAATATGTTAAATTTTACTTTTTTGTTAACTTCACAATATTTTACTTTTAATGAAATTTCAAAACGTTCATCAAAATCAGCATGAATCTGAAGGCATAATGTTAAAAGTAATCGACAAAAAACATCAATGATGAACTTTAATCAATTTAATTAGATATTATCCCTTTCTTTTTCGACATTTCTTTTCGTCAATTTACATTATTTACCTTTTTGTTTAGACGGTTCTGGTACGAGACTTTTTCTATCTCCTTGACGTGTAGAATGATCATCTTCACTGACGTTGTTTACAGATTTTGTAATTTCTACTGCACAATTAATTTTATAAACATTGTTTAAACTTCAGTTGAGTATAGATTTTATCAATAATATATACTACTTCACATCAATGTTATCATTTAAGAGAGAAATTACAAACGTATTATTTCCAATTTATATTTTGACTTTATAACTGTATTCAAGTAGCATTTAACATGACTGTTTACTTTTGTGATATTGTTAAAACAATTTTAAGATATAGTTTGAATATCTTTGTTTCTTGTTTAAGTTTACCTTCAACTTTAGAGTCGCTATTTATGGAATGCTGCAAAAAGAAAGGGAAAATTGTGAGTTATTTATTCGTTGTTAAACATATTTGAATTTTTTTTCTTATTTTTTTTTGGTGGTGTTTGACCTAGTGAGGCATTTCTGCTTTTTGTAAACATTGAATTTATTAATCAAAAGGAAAAATATTCTTTAAAAATTGATACATCCTGACGAAATGCAACTAACGAGGATACTTTTTATCTACACTTTTTATCTCATACGTCTTTTATGTCAAGAAACTCAGCATATTTTTATTGTGTACCAGTGTTCGGACAATGACTTATTTATAAATAGTGGCAGCCGATGTAAAGTGTACATGTGTTCGGATAGTAATTGGATTGTGGATCGTCATAATATTTCTCCAGTTTCTTTTGGTAATTTAACATTTTACTCCAATTTCATAAATGTTAAAAACAATGCAGCCGAGAGGAGGTCACAATCAGTATATTCAATTAATAATAGAAACAGTTTCCTGTCCATTTGTTTGCTACTGTGTGGGGATGTCCACCCTTGTCCAGGTCCTGAAAATTGTAAGGAGGGATGCAAAGCTCTTGACAACGAGTACAAAATTTTTAATAATCGTGGACTCCATTTTATACATGTGAATGTGAGAAGTGTACTTCCTAAGTTAGAGGGCACATAAATCCAGTGCAGCGTGCATAGGTATATTGGAAACATGGCTGGATGTATCTGATTTAGATACGGAAATTCAAATCCAGAATTATAGAATCATTCGTCGGGAACGAGACAGGCATGGTGGCGGAGTTTGTCGTTACATTCGTACTGACTTAACTTTTAACACAAGAAGCGATCTACAACACGAGCAGCTAGAAGCGACATGGGCGGGTACCCTTCTTCCTAAAGCTAAACCGATTCTTGTGGGCATTATTTACCGACCTCCAAAACAGTTGGAATTTATTGGCATTCTTGAAGACTTGTGCAATAGTTCTCCTCATTTTATTGAACATGAAACACTTATTTTAGGTAATTTAACATTGATGTTTGTAAACAAAGAAATAAGCCAGTGTGTCTTTTAGTACTTTTCTTAATATGTTTCATTTTAAACAGTTAATTAATGAGCACACTAGAGTGTGTCATACATCGTCTTCTACCATAGATCTTATTATTGTGTCTGACGTAGACAAAATTTCTCAGTCAGGAGTCTTAAGTACATGTTGTAGTGATCATTTTACTATTTATTGTATAAGAAAAGTTACTAAAAATTATGTTGGCAAGCATAACACTATTAAAGCACGTTCAATGAAAAATTATAATAAGAATGATTTCCAGCAATCTTTACTTGCAGTTGACTGGTCTCCTGTATTATTATGTGACTGTGTAACTGAAGCTTGGATTTTATTTCTAAATGTTGTTGATAACATTGCTCCTGTTAGGGAAATGCGTATTAAACAACGTACTGAAACATGGATTAGTCCAGAAATTTTACAATGTTTAAATGATAGAGATAGAGCTTTTCATTTGTATAGAAAGAATAAAACTCATGAACATTTTGAGAATTACAAAACATATAGAAATAGAGCCAATGAACTTATTTTTATGGCGAAAAAGAACCATTTTAATAATTCGTGTGACAATCATAAAACATGATTCAAAGACCTTATGGAAATCCCTTAAGGAGCTTGGTCTACCATCTAAAAAGGATAATTCATGTTCTAAGATTAATATTGGATTAAAAATAGGTGATGAAATTTGTTTTGATAAACAAAAGGTTACTGAAGAATTTAACATTTTTAATGTTGCATCAAATCTTACAGCAAAATTACCTCCATCATTAAACATTTTTGGTAAACAGTTTGTATCTTCTTTTTATTTTTCAAAAAGAATTATATATAATAATTTTTCTTTTTCATTGATGTCTGGTAAGCGTGTAATAAAGTATTTGAATAAACTAGTTTCAAACAAATCCGCTGGTCTGGATGGTATTCCTTCACGTTTTGTAAGAGATAGCGCATCTATTATTGCCTTTCCTAAAGCACACATTATAAATTTGTCATTGATACAATGCATAGTACCAGATGATTTGAAGGCAGCAAGAGATGTTCCTCTTTTCAAAAAGAATGATAAAACTGAAGTTGGCAACTACAGGCCTATGAAGCATTGTTTCTAAAATGTTTGAAAAGGTTGTCTATGATCGATCAGATTTCTTCCTATCTTAAAGAAATGGACATTTTATATAAGTTTCAATCAGGATTTAGAGGTGTTTTTTCCACGGACACTTGTCTTACACATCTATCTGATTTCATTAGGCTACATATGGATAAAGGTAATCTTGTAGGCATGATTTTAATGGATATTCAAAAAGCATTTGATACAGTAGACCACTCAAACCTTTTAATGAAATTAGAAGCCATTGGCCTTAGTACTGATGTTTTACAATGGTTTAGGTCATATCTGTCTGATAGGCAACAACTTGTGATGTATCTGGTACTTTTACCTCACATGAAAGGGTTACTTGTGGTGTTCCCCAAGGGTCTACCTTGGGACCATTATTATTTTTGATTTATGTAAATGATATGCAGGCTGTTGTTAAAAATAAACTTCTTCTTTATGCAGATGATTCTGCTATTCTTGTTGCAAGTAAAAATAGGTCATCTATTGAAAAGGAAGTGACAGATGAACTACATTCTGTCAGTCAATGGTTAATTGACAATAAACTTTCCCTTCACTTAGGCAAAACAGAGACAATATTATTTGGTTCTAAACATAGGTTAAAAACAGGTTCATCTCTTCATGTCAGTTGTAAAGGGACTGATATACAGTCAACTTCTAATGTCAAATATCTAGGTGCAACACTTGATCAGTCTCTCTCCGGTGAAGCAATGGCAAGTTCTATTATTATAAAGGCCAATGCAAGGTTAAAGTTTCTGTATAGAAAACGTGATTATCTCACATTTCACTCTAAAAAAACTTCTGGTTATGGCCCTCATCCAATGTCATTTTGATTATGCATGTTGTTTCTGGTTTCCCGGGGTTACTAAGTACTGGAAGGATAAACTCCAAGTCACACAAAACAAAGTAATAAGATTTGTTCTAAATCTTGGTGATAGGTCGCATATTGATAATGAACACTTCAAAATTTTAAATTGGCTACCTGTCCAGAAAAGAGTTGATCAAATTGTCCTTTGTAATGTTTTTAAAATAAAACATGGACTTGCCCCTGAATATATGAGAGAAAACTTTATTCCATTAAATTCTGTTCATACCTACAGAACCAGGTCAAGTGAAAGTGGTTGTTATATGCTACCTAATGTCAAAGGTTTTGGATCAAGGTCTTTTGCTTACAATGTATGTGTATTGTGGAATAAACTACCCTCTTCTATTAGGATGGAATCAAAATTATACAATTTTAAATTATCTGTTAAAAACATTTACTTAATGGGTAATTATCTCTTTTAAGGGTGTCTATCCTCTAGTCTTAATATTTATTATTTTATTCATTTATTTTAATTTGAACATTTTATGTATACTATTGTCTTTCTTCAATTTAAAACTATGATAAGTCATTTTCATGCCTCTCTTTGTCAAAACCATCAGTATCTAAGGACCACAATGGAAATAAGAGATTAAAATAGAAAAATACAGATTCCCTAAAGAAAGCCCAACACGGCAAAATTGAAAATGTTGCAGGCTCGGTTTGATTGAGCCTGTTCATGGACGATATTGGAAAGTGCAAGTTACCGTCCACGCCCCTAGCACCGGCTTAAGCAGAATTCAACATTTAAACGTGAAATAGTAAAATTTTGAATTTAGAAACACCCGCAGATGTGTTCATATGGCGGTCATCATGGAACCTTCGATGTGGCACTTCCGTGCCATTCCATGAAAAGCGGCGTATGGTCCCCAAGTAATAAAAAGCGTGTGCCCTAAACGAGAAAACAATGGGCGGAACTTAATAAAATGGAATGTTGAAAGGGGATCAGAGGTTATGAAGCCTGCGTATCACAGATGAGACGTCAAAAGACAAATTTAAAAAGCAGGCAACATACCCTAAGGGTGATTCAACATTATTCAAGTAGGAATATTGGAACCACCCAACTAGAAAATGCCGAAAAGTTGAAACTTGTTCTCTTTCTTGTGTTATCCTTGTAATGATGTTTTTGATATGGTGCACTTCTTATACATTGATATTTGTTTTTATTGTTTTATCATGTATTGGATATGTATTTACCATGTCATTACTGATTACTGAAATAAATAAATCTATCTATCTAAGCATGTTTAATATAAACTATCCTTTTTTCCTATTTTTCTTCTTTTGTAATAAATATTTTCCCATAATCCTAAGTTAATATGATTTCTGAATCAAGACGTTTTCAAAAATCATTTGAAAGTACTGAAACATATCATTTCTGGATACGGCCTTTATACTTTTCTGTGTTCCTTAGACGTTGACCTCGACCTTAAAGTTTTAGGCGTCATCGAGTGACCATGAGCAGTTTTTCTACCATGTTTCACAATCATTGTAGGCTTTTTCCTTCTCAAAGTCATTGATCAGAGCAGGATTGTACAGAACCTTTAACTGGACCTTAACATTCGACCCTATAACCTTAGCCTGAAAAGGGGTCATGTATCGGTCATGGTAAATGTTATAACAAGTTTTTTCATACTTATGCCCACTCAGGTTATTGGTTGTATTAGACTATATATATATGACTGTGACCTTGACTGTTTACCTAAAGACCTCAAAATCAATAAGGCCCATAACCATTCTCCCAATTACATATACAAACAGAATATCTAATAGTTATCAATACATTAAGCAGACATTGAAGTGGCAACCGGACGGACAGACAAATGGATGGACGTTTTTACTGCATTATCTTATGGCTTTTTTCCTTGATCGACGAAACCCCAGAACAACTTTTTGCACTCATTAAAATTTATCCCATTAGTCACTAGTATATAAACTCACAACGTAATGAATCTAATTATGACAACAAGGTCTCTCAACTTCGACACGCGCCATACCGCTGTCATTGACCCAAAATAACAAAACAACCTTAAACACCAATTTAAGGCCTTTGCTTACAATTTCTTACGGCCAGAATAAAAAAAACTGTATAAGGCATGATTATAGATTACAAGAAATACATTGTTTTTGAGAAATCGAGTTCATTCGAAATATAGATATGATTAGAATGGGAGATGAGTACTGACTAAGTTCTTTAATTTCACAATACAAGACGTTTATGTTTGTTATGTGCTAAAAAAAGCAAAAGATTAGAATAAAATTTAAAAGCTCGTGTTTTTTTTTCAACAACGGAGACACCATATACCAGACTCCAAATCGAAATAACAAAGGTTCACACATAAACGAAATTTGAAAACAAAACTCAGTATCTGGCATAATTACCTCAATTGAATTAGAATGTGACATAGAGGCAAATATTTAAGTTATTTAAATATACAGCTCAAATAACCCATATTTATTCTTCCTTTTCTTTCTTATGAGGATATAGGTTCGAAAGCAACTTGCATGTACAGACTAAATCAAACCGAATCTGCAATTTTCATGTTATTTGCTTCCTGGGAATCATTTTGTTAACAGATTTGTAAACATCAGTCAGGTATGCATGGTTTATCCTTAAATAAATTCTTATGTAGTCATCAAAATAATGAGCATGCTTTAATGACATAAAGATGAAGAAAAATAAAAATTAATGTTACTAAGTAAAAGTCTTTTATACAATAAACATGGATAACTGTGTTAAAAATGTTTCTTTTGTAAATATGCAAACTCATAACTGGTAATTATAGTCCAGTGTTCCAATAAATTAGCAATTATATTTATTTATATGGTCATTTGCTATTTAAATAAAAAAGCTCATTGTCAAAACATTTGATTTTAGCTGTTTTAGATGCATTAGCAAGGAATGGAATTAAAGTGAAATCTAAATAGAAGAAACAAATGTTGTAAACTGTTTTAAATGAACAAATCGACGAAACCCTAGAACAACAATGGAAATATAGTTGTAATTATGCAAATAAATACATACGGATTCAGATAGGGGTTGATTTTTTTCTGATGCCATGTTATCTGAAATGGGCAAATACAGTGTATGACAAATATTACCGCACACGATGGTTCAGGCTTCTTTATATAATCACATCACAGGTGTACACATTTAATATATGAATGAATCGTAAAAACGTTTTATTTTAAGAACTAGGGTACCAGCTTTAAGTTCCTTACTATACGATAAATTTGTTGTTATACCGAGTTATAATCATTGTATATTATTATTTACAGCTCCGTTAGGTATAGCAAAATATGACGTATTGAGAGACACGTGTGGCGATATGAAAACCGAGAGCAACCGCAGGCACTTTCCCGCCTTGTTTTTAACTTGCATGTGTATTACTTTTCAAACAACCGTTGTCCTAGTTTTACGACATCCACCTTACGGTAGAGGTTAAGGTTATATTTGGTATAAACCCGTAAAAAACCGATAATATCTAAATAAATTTGGACATTCAATTTCACGATTGATGGATTAGAATGATAAAATAGTCGTTATCATTTTATAAACCTTTCTTCGTGACGAATCCATTTGAAATTAATGTAATCTTGAAATATTATGTGAATATATTGTGGTACATGAATTTTTATAACTTATTAATCTAATATTACTGTTCACATTGCTGTGCGTTGACATTGAATAATCGAGACATTCACATAATTCATACATCCGGCTACTGTCAATCTAAAAGTTTATAGAAATTTTCTCTTTTTCTCAGATAAATAAAATTGCGAGGTGTAAATTGCTTTCAATGTTCATTTCAGTTTTATTTTCAAAATGCATTTTACAAAGTACGTAAACATTTATTAAATTGTTTTAAAATCTGATGAAAATACACTGTTTTATTATTTTTTCCTGATCTGTTATAAATTAGTCATAAATCTTACCTCATTGAAAACGTACGTCCTTCACAACTTGAACAACGTGACTGTCTTTATTGATTTAAATAAACTAATCCCATCTTCAAATCGATTGTTTTCTTATCGGATGCATTTTTTGCAAACCCTATCGGTTGTATAAACAAAACACTTAAATTGTAAATTGTTAAATTGTATGAGGTTGCAATAAAATCACAGTGATAGAAAAATTTATTTTGTGCATCATTTTTATCTGGCTTAAACGCGAACATTTTTTGTACACCTCTCTATGGTGGCTGATTTGGAACACTTTTGTGGGTCGTAATGTCGGTAGCGACAGCATGACAAAGCGCCAAACAGTGCGTGGTCGGACTTTCGTCTGGTCGTCATGTCGCTAACGATGCACGCCAAATGGCGAGTTGTCGTGCGACGTGTTGTTGCGATGTGATATTTTCGCTTGGCCCAAATCGGCTTTGGTATTTATAAAAGCCAAGCGACAGGGCGACATCGTGCAGTTTGACGTGCTTGGCTAGCGACAGGACGACAAGACAGTGCCAATGCGCAGATTGGCGCGTTTTGCTGGCGACAAGACGAAAAGGCGATGACGATATAGTTCGACAACGCAACACGCAAAGTGTAACAAATCAGCCACCATACATCTCGGCAATACAAATGAAATAAGACCTTATAAGTTCTGTTAAAGGCCCATTATCCCTCAGAATGAAATCATTTTTATCTCACAAAAAGACTTGTTTTTGTTGTTTTTGTTTGTTTGGGGGGGGGTTCTGTGGGTTTTTTTGTTGTTGTTTTTGTAGTTTTTTGTTGTTGTTGTTGTTTTTGTTTTTTGTTGTGTTTTTTTTTTGTTTTTTTTTTTTTTTTGGGGGGGGGAGGACTTTGTTTCAGTTTCCTAAGACATACACATTTATTTAGCTGTAAAACACCAAACATGCTCTTAATCCATTTTAAAAACAGTATTAAACATATACTTGACATTTGAAAATATAGAACATAGAACATAGAAATGTTAAAAAAATATTGAGGATTTAAGTTCAACTTTTTAATTTTAATCAATTGAATAGATAAACAACTACAATTGCGGTTTTAAGCTAATATCAGTTAGAATTACATGTAAAACATGTGTATCAACTGTATCTTACGTAAGTAACTCGGGTTACTTGGTTCAAATGTTGTGCTATATTTTGTTAAGCTGGAAAATGGATTTTCTCAATTTCTTTTTTCTGCTTTAATATGTTTAAAGAATTGAATAAGCGTATCAATCTTGTATACCATGAATAGTACAAATATATTTACTTTATGCAAGTATATGTTGCACTAAGTTGCATTGTTGAACACATAGTTGTGCTATAGAAATCTCATTAAAACCATACAATATATGTTGCTCAACTACCCTGCGCTGACTGCAAAATTGACGTGAAATGAACTTCTTATTATCTTTCTTTAATTGCAGGGATATAGCTAGTACGTTAGAAGATTAGGTAATTATATTAGGACAACGTTTAGGGCCGGTTAAAAACAACCATTTCAATAGGAGGAAAATGTCCATAAAGCTTCCTTCAACAGGCTGGTTCAAACTCCATAAGCGGTTGTTTTAGCCAGTTGTAGCTAGTTAAGCAAAACATGGCTACCAAAAAAAAAAACAATCTACAATGAGGGACACAAGCGTCAAAATTGATATATGTTGCCTGTATTTGTGTAATCCACAATTGTCAAATTTTGAACAGTATTTAAAATTGTATTACTGTTAGTTTTAAAATAATTAAGATCGTCGGTTTTCGAATGTCTATTAAAATAATTTGATTATTTTTCCTTTTGCAGAATCTTCTTTATCCTTTTTCCGGACGAAGAAAATGGTCCCTAAATGGGCATAGGTGTCTGGAATAAGGCTGTTATCACCAGTGTAGCTAGTGTTGTATTCATGAATTTAGTTGTTATTCACTTATTCACAGAGGAGTGCATTTATTAAGACTAAAACTGATTAACTTTGTGTGGCATGTATATGTTTACTACAAGTTAGAGGCTAATGGATTCTGTATCCACGGAGTCAGTTCAGTCGACGCATTTTATAGCTCGAAGTATCAAACAGCAACAACTCTCCCGTAGTGATAGCGCCACACTACCTAGACACATTAAACGAATTAGGCATTGTCCGAAGGCTCCTTCGTTGCAATAGAGGAACTTAAATTCAACGCTAGCATAGCTTCAATACGACACAAACAGCGTATCAGGGTTGTCTTGCTGATCCTTATTCTCAGTTTTGAAAAGGTTTATGTATGGGAAGAGTTAAGAAAATAAGCTTGGAGAATCCTGGTGGGGAAAATTTTGTAGACAAGAGTTTACTAGTGGATTTCATTTTTTAAGATCTTATTGAATATAACAAGTCGTGTATATATTGGATTCCTAAGATATAATTTTATGGTTTTGATCCAAGCAGATTTCGACATGATAGCTCAGCAGTGGAACGCTACAATATTTGAGCCCAAAAATATTTTGAAATACCTTACGGAAGACCTGATATAAATGTATTTTGTACCTGAAATCTATGGTGGACATACCTTTGGTAGCCATGTTGATCAAGAAAATGTACAGATATGCCAATAACTTTATGGATCACCTAAACGACTTTCTTGTAACAAAACCGAGGAATTTGTTTGAGTGTTGTCGTCGGATGGCAGAAGATTTTTAACAGCTTATAATTCGTTAAAAGTGTACCTTGATTTTTTACAGATGATCGAGCATTTACAATAACTGACAATGAAAGATGTATTTGCATGGGAATCGTGGTGGCATTTAAAATAATTAATTATAAATTATATTAATAAACTATTATTATCATATTAATTGCATTATAATTCTAACAAAAGATTCATCATCCGGTGTGTCTTAATAATATCTTTTTGTGCTAAATGATGACAGGTATATTGTTAAAAATATATTGAACTGTTTCAAGATAACTGTTTATGACGAATGTCTGGTGAACCCAGAGCTTCAATAAATGACCCAATCAATGTGTGTGTCTTTTCTACATTTAAAATCGTGTTCTCTTTGCATTCGCAGTCAATCCTTCCTTGTTTCTATCTGTACTAGGTCAAGATTGGCATTGGCCATTTAAATAAAAGATAACCATTGCCTTAACCTTATAGACGTGATCTTCTGTAGTAATATTTAATGAAGTTATCATCTGTTTAATATTGATTTGGGTCAATATGATAAATAAGTGTTTTAAAATGACAAGGATTTGCCTTTAATACTACTGAAATAAATTGTCATTTTCTACTTCCTGGGTATAATTCTGCACAAATGATCGATGGTGTGTCCTGCTCTTGGCTAAACATCTTGGCCATCAGAATATGCACAATTACTGTAAGACACAATATAATCTTACAAAGTAAGTATATGACCTTCACATTGGCAGTGCACCGATTGATGACTTATCCAGCAAATTTTGCATTACTAACTATAAAACTTGACGTCAAGCGTGAATTTAACCAGAATGAAATAATCCATAACGTTTCTATAAAGCCAGCATGTCATTATTTTGGCTATAGTTGCATGTTCCTTTAAATTTCAGTAATAAAGCAATCTCAAATTGCGAAAGTATTTATAGTTATAAAGTACTTTTTTGCTGTTTTGTTTGTTTGTTTCTTTTTGTTTCTTTTTTTGCGGGGGGGGGGTCAAAGAAGTGTCTGCATCAAAAAATGTAGTTTCCAAGATACTTGAAAAGGTAGTTTATGACCAAGTTGAAACATATCTTAAAGAAAATAAGCTGTTGTATAAATTCCAATCTGGTTTTAGAAATGGTTTCTCCACTGATGCTTGTCTCATTTACATGACAGACTACATTAGGCATGAAATTAATAAGGGTAATGTGGTAGGTATGGCTCTGTTAGACTTACAGAAAGCCTTTGACACTGTTGACCATTCCATTCTCTTAATGAAGCTTCAAGCTTCTGGTCTTGGTGATGACATCATAAGGTGGTTTATGCCATATCTTTCTGAGAGGCAACAGCTTGTTGATGTGTCAGGTAGTTTTTCTTCCACTTCAAGTAACATATGGTGTTCCCCAGGGTTCAATCCTTGGGCCCCTCCTCTTTTTAATTTACGTCAATGACATGTCAACAGTAGTGAAAAATAGACTATTGCTATATGCTGATGACCCTGGAATACTTGTTTCTGGAAAAAAATTATTTGAGGTGGAAATTTCTGTATCTGAAGATTTGTCCTCGGTAAGTCAATGGTTAATTGATAATAAATTATCGTTGCACCTAGGTAAAACTGAGTCCATTGTGATTGGGTCTAAACAGAAACTCAGGTCACATTCCAAATTAAACATAAATTGTAATGGCACTGCAATAGAAGCATCCACATCCATCAAATATCTTGGGGTAACTATTGATCAGTACCTGTCCTTTGGTTACATGGCAGACTCAGTAATTCAGAAGGCTAACGCCAGGTTAAAGTTCCTTTACCGTAAGAAAGATTTCCTTACACAGCATACAAAAAAACTGCTTGTCAAATCCTTAATTCAGTGCCACTTTGACTATGCCTGCTGTGTCTGGTATAATGGTTTAACTCAGGTCTTGAAAAATAAATTGCAGACAACACAAAATAAAATGATGAGATTTGTTCTAAACCTTGATTCCAGAGTTCATATTGGCCCTTCCCATTTTAAATCCCTTAATTGGTTACCAGTTTGTAAAAGAGTTGAACAAATCATGTTATGTCACGTTTTTAAGGTTAAAAACCAAATGGCCCCAGAGTACTTAAGTGATTATTTTATTTCTCAGGAATCTATGCATTCTTATTGCACCAGACTGAGCAAAAAAGGAGGGTATTGTCTTCCTAAGGTTAAAGGTTCCGGGTCAAAGTCTTTATTGGTGCTAAACTATGGAACAGTCTTCCAACTTGTATAACTGAAATTAACAAATTTCATCGTTTTAAGGTAGCCATCAAAAGTCACTTTTTAAGTAGCATGTAAGTGTTTTTCTTAAAATTTCTTGCAAGAAAATCTTATGTTTTCATTTTTTTTATTGAATTATTTTTCGGCTCAGGTTTACTGTTTCGTTTTTTGAAATTTGTTTTAAATTTTTTATTAAGACTTTAAAAACTTTATCTTTTTTTGAATAGCGTAATCTATGGCATGTCCTTTCCTTACATACTCATAACAACTGTGATATTTTTTTTAATGTAATCATTTCTTAATATACACATAATTATTTCTTAATGTGATACTGACTTTTTATTTACATGACCTTACATCTTAAATTGTGATAATTTTAAATGATATTCTTCATTAATGTGATTTATCTTATAATTTGTGATTTTTTTTTCTTTTATGAAATATCTCTCTATGTCATGCCACCAAATGCTAAGGACCACAATGGAAATAAGAGCTTGCTCTTTTTTGTGTTGTCCTTGGTTTTGGGAACATGTCATGGTTTACATAATATAGTATTTATTCATTTAGTTATTTATTTATTAATTCATTTATTTGTAATTCTTTTAATCTATATTGTGTTTGTTTATCATGTAACATGTTAACCTTTATGCTGAAATAAATCTATCTATCTCTCTCTCTCTCTCTCTCTCTCTCTATCTATCTATCTATCTATCTATCTATCTATCTATCTATCTATCTATCTATCTATCTATCTAATCTATCTAATCTATCTAATCTATCTATCTATCTAATCTATCTATCTATCTATCTATCTATCTATCTATCTAATCTATCTATCTATCTATCTATCTATCTATCTATCTATCTATCTATCTATCTATCTATCTATCTATCTATAACCATATCAACAGAATTTCACGCGTTACATTTGCACTTGCGCCTATGTACTGAGTGATATTGTTAAACAACGTCTTACTATGTTAAACGAAGACCATGTGAATTTTGTACAAAAGACTTCATGAATCTACGATTCACCTTCATGAATTCACAATTTCAACTTCATTAATTTACAATTTCAACTTTATGAAGGTCTGGACGAACGAATAACCATGACTGTAGTTTCTTGATGTTGTTAAGTAACGGGTATGCAGAAGGGGTTAACTTTTGAGGGACAAACAACTGCACTATAAAATGATACGTCGACTTTATTTTCAACGGTCGAAGGCTGTCTAAAATCAGTTTGACTTCCTGTAAGATTTACAGAGAATGGCTTGATATAAGAACAATTTTCATTAATCATTTCTTGGAATGTCAGTGGCACTTTTTTGACCATGGGACCATGCGCCGATATAGAGAAGGAGCCTTTTTGATGCTGTGGGTTTTGAAAAGACTGTTTTAACGTGAAGATGAACATCTATATAGAGGTTAGCGAGAGGGGCACTAGTCAGTTAGATGTTTTAAACATATCATTTTATTTTTCATTCCAAGTTTTATGTTGAAAATACGGTTAATGTATGGCGCATGTACCTCGTGAAAGGTTAGAACAACCAAATGAGTTTCATACTTTCCGAAGAGGGGTTCAGTTACGTTTCTATGTTACTTTTTATATCAATGCTTACACAGCGATCAGAAAGTAGTTCCTTTTGCTCAGACTTTGAATCAAACGCACAGCAAGCGGGAATATCAAATTCAAGATATTCGAGATATTTAATACCAGTCACGTATATTCCTCATGAATGTATACAAAGCAAAGGTTAATGCCGCCTTTGACAATTTAGAAGGGAAAATTATTTAAATATACTTTAATATCAGAATTTGTGAGGGATTACATGACGTGTTTTTATTTTCCATTACGATACAAAATTATTATTACCTCGGCCGAGTATCTTTATGAAAGATAAAAAGATACAAAACAATCCGTTACATTTCATCATAAAGCTATCCTTAAAATTTTATTTTAGAATGGTAAGAATCGTCCTTTACATTTTATTTTAGAATGACCTATGAGATTCACCGATTTCTTTTACGTTTGTATGTGGTTCTTCAATGAGTTTGCTGTATATAACAGTAATGTTTCCAAGGGATAATTTTTCTCCAGATATTTAACGTTTGAGCGTTCTAAAGTTAGGGATTCCGTTTTCTCTTTTTCATAAACTTTGTATATCATGAAAAACTTAAAACAAAATAAATGAAAGCTACGATTTTTATGCAATATTACAGCGTTCCATTTATTAAAGAAAACAAAACCAAGTCATTTCCTGTCCACTGCATACATGTTTGTTCAATTAATGCATAACGTGCACTTCATTGTCGAGAACTCTTTTCCAATTTGAGAGGATACAATTACATAATGAATTTTGTTTAAAATTTTAAAATTTTAAAAATAATAATCTGTATTTTGTAATTCTTCGCCCTATTTGAGTTAAACCCTTTCAATTGCTTGACCTTTTAAGGCCATTTTTCACATAAAAGATTTATAACGAGAGAGACTAATCTTAACGTTTTCACACCAGTTATTGGCAAAGGGCAAGGACAGTTTTTTTTCCAGTCTATTTACTAGTTTATCTGTGTCGGTATCTTCACCTTAATTTATAAGTTTTATTTTATGTGCTTATATTACTTATCTTTAGAATTTTCAAATTTATATCATTCTAATTAGCTATATATTATATTATATTATATTATATTATATTATATTATATTATATTATATTATATTATATTATATTATATTGTATCGTATCGTATCGTATCGTATTATATTATTATACATCATGATACCTTATAAAATAAAAATTACTTACAAACGTAAGTATTGTCAACACTTATATCATTTCAAATTTAATAATATGCCCTTTTATCAACCACATAATAATGAAATTAATAAAACAAAATAATCAACAACATCAGAAAGTATAAGTTCATGAATGTTTAAAGTTAAGCCCATGGCTGTATATACATGAAAACAATCCAGAAAAAATAAATTAATATTGTATCATACGTAAATATCTAGTAAATTATAGCTTCGAGCTAAAACAGCAAAATAAAAGTTTGAATATAGCCTTTGTAAGTCTTTTTTTTTCTTCTTTTTTACGTTTTTATATACATTTTTTATCTTTCAAATAGATATTTGGCCGAAGTAATACTGTTTATCATGCAAAAGTATGCCATTTTTAAGTTTTCAATACCAAAAGAAATGTTAGCAATGCTTGTATAACAATGACATGATAATTATTTGTGTAGCTATTTGGAAAATACCCATTTTGTAAACTTTGAAATAAAATTATAGCATATTGATATTGATGATTTTTCAAAGAAGAACAACTTTTATTTATGGTGTCCTTTATACTTGTTTTGTAATCATTTACAAATTTACCTAAACGTTAAAGAACTATCCTCATTCCTGTACATTTTATTTGAAAATTTTCCTTTACATTTTACTTTATTGTGACAAAACTATCCCTTAAATTTTATCATAGAGCTATCCTTAAATTTGTATTTTAGAATGGTAAGAACATCCTTAACATTTTTTAGAATGCTTAGAACTTTCCGTTACATTTTATTTTAGCATGACCAAAGAGATTCACCGATTTCAGTTTGTAATTTTAAAATGACCAATGAAAATTATTCTTATATTCAGTCCTACCCTGAAAATTTTACAGGAAGTCAACCCGATAACAGACGGACTTTGTCCGAAAAAATAGTTTAACCAACAGTAGAGGCTCCCTTCAAAAGTTAAATGTATGGATACATGTATAGATTATACACAAAATATATGCGTTAAACGGAAACGTTAAAGGGCCTCTATTTAGTGCGACCATGAAGTCTGAGGCGACTTGTTTTTGTTCGATTTGATGAGATGTTTTACAACAAATCAATTCATTTTATTCACAAAGGCTAGACCTTTTTTTTTTATTCTAACTCACTTTTCCTAAAATGCTTAAAGTTTTTTTGTCTATGCGAATTTTGTCCCAAAACAACAAAAACGAACACATACTTTTCGCCTTAACAAAAACTTCAAGCTTATCGAGAAACGTTCCGGCTTTAATCTTTGTGAATAAAATAAATTGATTTGTGTGAAAACGTCTGATTAAATCGAATTAAAATCAGTCGACTAACACATCATGAACTCACTTATTGGAGGCCCTTTAACGTTTCCGCAGCGTTAGGACTAATAAGAGATAAATTCTGTAAGTAATTCCTAACAGTCGTAAAATAAAACGTATGACAACGTATGAGTTATCTATGTATCTGATAATTCATATGATAATTGTAATTTACTTTTATTTTTTCTAAAGCAAATTCGCAATTTTCCCTTATTTATCATTTCCATTGAACAACGTTAACAGTACACTCGCTGCTTGAAGATGAGAGGATAAAATCGTTCTTCGAAGCAAAATGTAAAGAACTTAAACTGGAAGTATTATATCAATAAATTTAAAAATGGCCAGAATCATAAGTTTTAAAGGATTTTGTCTATAAAAAAGTTAGTGTCGACTTTGTAATATAGTTCACTTATTATGAGAATGCTCAAAGAAATGAGTAAATACAAAAATCAAATAGTTTTAAAAGAAAACAGGTCCTAGGTCTTTGAAAAAGCAATGAAACTCTGGAACAACTAAAGTTTTCTTTGAAACTGTTATCAGTAATTTGCATCTTCTCCTTTCAGTCTGAAAAAAAAGAGTAGTGAACGGTAAATCACAAAAAAGATCTGTCTTTTTGTACAATTTTCATTTAAAACATTCATTTTAATTACTTTGTTTTTGTTTTTATCGTTACGCCATCATAAAAACTATTTGGATAGATATGACTTAAGTTGCACTTAAGCTGAGTTAAGGTACCAATTTTAATTCAAAATGTCAGACAAATGCACAAAACAAATATGTAATTATCAATATTCTATAAATTGTTGTTGATTACTAGAATATATATTACAAAATGATGATAAAGTAATGTTAATTACCTGTCTTCCATCTTTTCTCTTTACATCTAGTTGCATAAGGTACATATAGCCAGAAGTCGTTTCCTTCAAATTGAATAAAAGTTTGAATCAAACAATAATGGCAAATTAAGGGAACTGATTAATATACAATAAACTCCACTTTATATAACGATTTCTCTTACAACGATATACCGCGTATATAACGATGCTCTTGCCGCGGTCTTTTATATTAAACAAATAATAACTACTTGTATTACGATAAGTTACGATAAGACTAGTTTTATTATCTTAAGAGGAATCTGCAAACACATTAGGCAGCAAATTTGTTTAAACAATTTTAAATCATTCATTACAAAATACAGAAAATACCTGTTTTCTCCCTGCGTCAACTTTGTCTAGTCTATATTTTAATCCTATCTCACTAACGGCGGATTTTGCCACATTTATGACTTTCTTGTCTTTTGGGTTTATTCTTTTAGGCTTGCCGATCAATTCTTCAAATGCAAGCGATAATGTTATCATTCCAAGAAACAAAACAACGGCGTTCGGAGAGACCATCTTCGCATTTATGAGCAAATCATGCAACCTATATACATGTATATACCTTTTCCAATACAATTCAATATTTAATAACTTTTTAATTGAAAATGTAACATGATAAAATTAATGTAGCCTTGAAGCAATTTAGCTTTTAATATGTGAAAAAAAAACAGATATTGTTCTTTGCAATACAATGTATATTTCTATAAAAAGAATGTTACTCTATGGTATTCGCGTTTGACGTGGTCTTCAAGTCGACTTTTTATATAAAAAATTACATTCTAATTTACACTTCTGTTTTTAAAAGAGCTCAAGTTAGAGACACGGGTCTCAAAACATTTTCATATGTCAACTGGGTCACTTGCGCAAATACATAACAAATATATATACTCAGTATAAAAATGATAATCGGTAATTTGTAATTCTTCGCTCAATTTGAGTTAAAACCTTTCAATGATTGACCTTTAAAGGTAATTTTACACAATTTAATTATCATTCTGGAAAAATGAGAGAGAATTATTTGCACTTTTTCACACAAGTTATCGGTCAAGACTGTCATTTAATGATCAACATTATTTTTTGTCCAATCACATTGTAGTATTCCAAGTCTAACTTTGGTTAATGTGTACTAACTAAATAAAATTTACTTAATCTGTCGTCTAACCAGTCTATCAAATTTCAATAATGCATTATATTAGGGAGGAGTTAGAGGTGTGATTTGCACTCTGAATTGTAAAATATCTAGGTTAGCAAAACAATACCAACGTAAAAAAACAATTAAGCGAGTTTAGGTGTTTCTAAATGTGAGGATACAATCAATTAATTTATTACATATATAATGCATGCGGGGCATGCAAAGACAAATGATTACATAATAACTTTTTATATCCTTTTAACTCTAAGAAAAATGTCTGTTATAAAATGCTGACTCTTTTAAACTTCTTTTTTTTTCTAGAAAAAGTAACCAAAACATAATTTTCTTTCAGTTGATAGAAATGAACTGCATTAACAATCCTTGATATTAAGAATACAATGATTACATTTTTTGGCTGGAAAACTCATTGTAAATGGACCCACTCTACCTGTAAACCTAGATTGACACACAGAAAAACTGTTTTTCAAATGAACAAATCAATAAGGATTTTAAATGTTAATGAATAACTTAAAGCTAATAACGAATTTGTATAAATTAATAATCTAATGTATTTTCTCACATTTTCCATTTATTTATAAAGGCTGTACACATTTCATTAACTCCATTGTTTTTACCTAATTGCATCATTTTTGCCCAGATATTTTATAGAGACATGATAGTCTTACTGTAGATAAAGGTATAAATTCTGTGACATTTCAGTAAAAAATGTGGCTGATTATTTGTTGATAGGGGTCGTTTATTTAAATGTAATATGTTAGAAATTTGACAAGGTGTAGACGTCTTGTAGAGCGAAAGGGTGGAGCTATTGGTGATTTAGTGAAATGCCTTGTTTTTGGTTGAAAAAATAATGTTGATCATTAAATAGGTTAATGTTTTATAATATGCATTAACAAAAATAATTGGTCGCCTGCCTGCGGCAGGCTTGACCAATTATTTTTGTTAATACATATTATTAAACACTAACCAATACAAAATTGTACCCAAATTTAGAGAGAAATATTTTCTGTCTATTTACCAGTTTATCTGTGAATCAAGGTTTATTTTATTTTACTTTGACGTTATTTTATTCTCTTAAAGAATAATAATTTTAAAAGTTCATAAGAACAACTAAATTAAAAAGTTTTTTTAAATTGAGCAATCATAAATAATAAATAGATAATTTACAAAATGTTAATTAGTTCCGATTGTCACATAATGTACTTTGTACGAAACCTTTTCAGGCATTGTTGACTATATTTCAGTATGGTTTTTAAAAGTATTTATCTAAGACAAAAACAACTGTTGTTTGCCGAAATATGCCGAAGTATGCGACAATGGTATTGTTTTATTTGTAAGTGTAATTTTCTATAAAAGGTGAGCGGTGGCCTTGTGGTTAAGGTGTCTGCCACACAACCCATGATCATGGGTTCGAACCCTACTCGGGTCACGACCATGTTTCTTCATATGACACCAGTACTGGTTGGTTCCAAGAAGCGGACTCGAAAATGTTTAATATAAGTTGCAAGAACTTGTTTCGCAATCGAGCTAAAATAAATATGTTTAAACCATTCATATTAAGTGCCTGCCCTCCGGTCATACAGAAACGTGTATAGCGCATGAAATATTGGATTACATTTTCTTTCATCTTGATATGTGTATAAATTTTGTCTAAGGAGACATATTTGCTCATGTGATAGAAGCAGCGAAAGTAGCAAAAGATGACGTATTTATTAAATGCATTTCTTATATTATATTGTGTACACATACACAATTAATTATTATATCAATGTGCTTATATTACTTATATTTAAAATCGTACAAAACAGCCCTATGCTTAAACTATAATTGAACTAGTAGTTTTATAGTTTAAACGTAGTTTATTTCAAACACGTATTCATTTTTTACAATTTACATATAAAACTGTACAATACATGGAATGCACTAAAAAGGACGAGAACCAGAAGCGTATGCTTATATTGGTCTTATCCTATTCAACAAATAAACCAACGCAGGCAATCACATTTATACAATTCTAGGTATTTTTGTTCGTAATTACATTTGAATTCAAACATAACATCACAAAAACTTTAATAGCATTTATCATATTATTCGCTAAGCACTGCAGTACCAATACATATTGCAATGTTTTTGAAATAACATAACTTTAGATAAAAGAATTGCTTCATTCAATTGTGATTAAGAAAATGTATATGAAGAGGAAAGTAGTGTATTTCGGTAGGTAAAGTGTATTTCGGTAGGTAATGTGCATTTCGGTAGCTAATACGTATTTGGTTTCTCATACAAAAATAAAACAAACAAAAATGTTATTACTTATGCTAATGTTATTAACTAATACACTTCACAAACATGTGACTGAGGAAGCTCTAGTTATTGATAAGAAAAGGATTTCTCATCAAGGGTCACTGTCACCATACCTGGTGACCTTTCATTTTATAAACCTAAAAATCATTTTGGTCCATATACTGGTCATGTTCATTGTCCTAATTAATTCACAAATCCACTGCTTATTCCTTATGTAATTATTGACCGGCAAATTATTTAACAATAAGTGACACTGTGACCTTGACCTGTGACGGAATGAACTCAGAACTATAGTAATCATGTACTGAATTAATTTTATCTAGTACAAAAAGCATTCTTTTATAACAATATCACTTAAGCAACTCTTTCACATTTGCTGTATAAATTGTTATTACCTAATTTTGAGCATATTTGGATTTATTTTACTTTTATACGCTGGCAAGTATGTTTTTCCTTAATGCCAATTTATCAATAGTACTTATATTATAATACTTTGGAAGTTATAAACGTCATAGTACTCAGTGTTTTGTTGTTGTTTTTTTTTTTGGGGGGGGGGGGGGCGGAGGGGCGAGTGGGGCATAAGCATTTGTAGACGTCATGTTTTGTCGGTTGACAGTTATAGATAAAATAGTCTTGAACTGTTATTTTTTTGGTATGGCTACTAGATCCGTTCATAATGCAGTTTGTAATTTAATTGCCAAATGCCAAATCAAATCTATTCTCTAACCATAAATATCAGAAAATAATTGTTAAAATAAGGATAAATGCTTGATTATTTTTTGTTTGTTTGTTTGTCTGTTTGTTTGTTTGATTGATTGATTGATTGATTGATTGATTGATTGATTGATTGGCTGATAGATTGGTTGGGTTTTAAGTCAAATTGACTGTTCGAGTATAAAGATTTTTTTTTATTTCATTAACCAAAAGCATATTAAATATAATCAATTACATTTACATACATCATTTTGTTACTAAATATAAATACATGTCTGCTTCAATTAAATCCACATTCAATAACCGCACGTCACTTATTCCAAAGAAAAAGAAAACATCAATAATAAAAAATAACATTTTTCCACTTGAAAGAATAAGAAAAAAGGTAGATACAACAGAAATTAACAAAGAAAAAACTCTTAACAAACCTGAAACAAAGTAACAAAATACAATTAAGACAGACACTCACGTACTTGCACTCAAAAAATTAAATAGAGACAAGTGAACAAGTTTCGTTTCATTTTGTAAATTTTATGGTTTAATTTACATATTTTCTTTGTTGCTATCATCAGTTTTATTTGTTAGAGTATCAGATAGTTTATTCCGTTTTTGTTTGTATGAGTCAACTTTGTCATTTGACAATGCAATTTCTTCTTTAATCTGTATCCTTAATAGCAACAAGAAGGTCGAGATGGCCCTACATCGCTCACCTGACCCATCGAACTCATCCAAGCAATTACTTATACAGCATCCTAACAAAGTTTGATGACAATTGAGTCAAAAATGTGACCTCTAGAGTGTTAACAAGGTTTTTCAATGTTTGGGCAGTGTGGTCTAGTTTTTGACCCCAGGTGACCATTATTCGAATTTGACCTAGAAATCATCAAAACAAACTTTCAGACTAATTTCCAGGATATTTGGATCAAAACAGAAGCCACTAGAGTGTCAACAATATTTTTTCTATTTTAAGCTCCTGTGACCTAATTCTTCAATTGAGATGACCCATGTTCGAACTCATCTAGACAAGCATTCTGACCATGTTTGATGTCAATTGAGTCAAAAATGTGACCACTAGAGTGTTAACAAGGTTTTTCCATATTTGAGCGGTGTGACCTAGTTTTTGACCCCAGGTGACCCATATTGGAACTTGACCTAGAAATCATCAAAACTAACTTTCAATCATATTTCCAGGATATTTGGATAGATACAGTAGCCACTAGAGTACTAACAAGATTTTCAATTTTTAGCTCCTGTGGCATTGTTGTTCATCTGAGATGACCCATGTTCAAAGTTCCCCAAGAAATTACCTGAACAAGCATCCTTACAAAGTTTGATGATAATTGATGCAAAACAGTGACCACTGGAGTGTTAACGAACAAATGTGGACGGACGACGGACATTCAACGATACTAAAAGCTCACCCTGAGCTAGCTCAGGTGAGCTAAAAAGTTTTTAAAATATCAAATTTGGATTACTCTTTTTGGTATTTCATTTTTTAATGTAATATTTCATTTCAATAATGATATTTTTACTTCATCACTCTTTAAAGTGTTTGTAACCCCTTCAAAAATATATTGACTCTATGAAAAACTGATATTTATTGACTCTATTAAGGTTATATATGTCTAATTTCTAGCTTTAATGGTGGAAGAAGATCGCGTTTGCCCCTTCGTGCATTTTTAGGCACGAGCAAGCGATTTGGTAGAACGTAAGCTAGCTTGATATCTAACCCAAAGAAACATTTAAAATTCCCAGCCAATCAAAACAGGGATGAGGTGAAAGATGTCCGATGTCAAAGAATCACTCGGTCACAATAGCCCCAATTGGAATATATAAAAGGCATGATTAAAGTAATGAAAACAAAAACCATATTATTCTATATAATATATGATACATGTCGGGTTTGCATCAATTAATGATGAGTAAGTAATATTATGCAATCGCTATAGACATATTCATCATTTTTAAACAGCATTTGTGGTTTAAAATGTCTCATACTTTTAACTCTGTTTGCTAGAAGTGCAAATTGTGTGTCTTAAAAGTTCCCTGTTTTCTTATCTATTTATTTTTTAATTGAAAATCTCTTTTGTGCACTGTCGACACTTCTAATTTTTAGTTTTGCTCCATGAATATATTGGAAAGAATATGCCAAACAACGGTTTCCATTTACAAGCATTAACGCTATCTTGATCTCCAACCAGAATATCTCTTAGTGTCTCCATGTTGTTTTGACTTACCTTGATTGAAAATAAAAGTAAGCAACTTACGTTATAATACATTGATACATATTTACGTTATAACACATAGATACACGTCTATAATAACGAGCGTATCAAAGACTTAAAGAATATGATATTTTAAAATAATGTATATGTAGACAATTAGGTTTGACATAAAACGAATATCTGTCAAATAGTAATATACAATTTTGAATATGGAATTTAGTGAACTAAAACTACTGCCGATTGTCATTTGTACCACACTAATGTGCAAAGATAAAAATGGATCGTCTCTTAAGGTGACAAAAAAAAACTTAGGGGGGCATAAAGAACATAGAAGTGCAAACAAATCATTTGGCTTTATCTACAAAAAAGATATAATTGAGCATTTGAAAATTCATGTACTAGTTTCAGAGATATCATGACATTTTCTAGCTGAAAAGAGATGTGAGCCTTTAGTAGTTGAATGAGGGAGTTAGTGAGTGAGTGTGCGAGCGTCTGAAGTAATTAACATTTCTAATCTTATTGATTCTTATATTTTCTGACTTTTAATAATATTTAAAAAATCACTGGCACATCTTTTTCCTGTCACTTAAAGATTTATGCTCTTTCTTGAGTAATAATATTTTTAATCACAGAAATCAATTTTTTCAAATCTATGAAATTTTAACAGAATATGTCCCTTGTAAATGAAAGGAAAGGAAATAAATATGTATGGAAATCAACATTCCCTATTGCAGGTCAAGTAAGGTTGGTCTCATCTTTAAAAAAAACTGCAAGATTTTAATTGACACTATATATGGATATTGTGACCACCTATAGTGTTTAGAATCTTACACATATCTACTTTGTGTGAAATCAAAACATGTTTATTCTACAAAGAGTCTCTGTAGCAATTATCAATGTTTACTAATATCAAATTTGAGCATAGTATATCTTTAAAAAAATCATTTCTATTGAAAGATTGAAATTTAACAAGTACAAAAAAATTCGTTTTAAATTTATGGACAAGGCCAAAACATTCGCCTATGCTATTATAATCAAAATTAAATGCCCTATGGAAATAAAAGAAAATAATACCATATCTCCAGCAGACCATAACTCCTGTCCTGCTGTTGATAAGTTATTTGATTGTTTGTTTTTATCCTACAAGAGAAAAAGCAATTTCAAGAAGACAGATATAGGACCATTCATGTTATAATATACATACAATTCTAAACAAAAGCATCAGTTACTTTAAATTGTGCACTATTCGAAAGAAGTAAAACGTTACTTTGCCAGTCACAATAAGACTTAACTTCAAAATCAAACGTTCTTGCTACTACTTCTGTATGCTGAAATGTCAGTTTTGGAACCTCTACAGCATACAATTTAACCTTTGCAATCATGTTCAAAACAGAAATATTATATTTGAAAGTTAAAACATAATTATTTAAATAACCCAGTTACCTTTACAACCTCGTAGGCGCTATTGAACAATGCTATGAGAAGATTGAAAATTAAAATAGTAAACAAAGACACATAGGCGTAAATAACCACTCTAAGAAACAAATGAACAGTTTTGTCCCCAGCATATTCGTCTTGAAGTATGGCAAACGTCGCAAATATCTCATCTCCTTGACTCATAGAGAATAATGTTTCTGCAGCAGTGGACATTTTCCTAAACTGAAATAAAAATAAAATACTATTTATTGAAACATGCATAGTATTTTGAATAGAGACATTGACACATTTAGCAGACATTCTTTCAGGTTACATCGTCATGCCGTGAGATATTTTTAACATTCTAACTTACATTAAAAACATCCTTTATGTAGAAATAACGAATGACTTATGCATTTCATCTCAATGGTTTCTTCTTTCATATCATAGATTCGAATACCATAAGCTTTGAATACTGAATACTGCTTTAATGTCAACCGCTTATAATATAAATGTTTTGTTCTTATTTAAACAGCGATACGTAGATAAATGCTTATAAAAACGTGCTTAAGTAATTCGTTGTGTTATTTTCCAGTAATGAGATTGTTAACATTTGCGACTCTTTCCGATGATGACGTAGGGATATCCCTCAAATATATATGCCGGCACTCATACACCTCTGAACATTTTCCAACAATATATCAAACTCTCTTAATGTATGTAGTAAACCAATCTTTGGTTATAAATCGCTCAATATTATATTCTACACGATTTCCTTTATACCTCCAATACAAATTACTTTTCAATTATTCATATAAGTAAAACCGGAGGAGATATTGTAACATTAATCAATTCCGAGGTAAGTGCAATATTAAATGACTTTAAAAAAAATGTTTTCTCCTTCACCCCCCTAATAAAAGCCCACCTACCCTACCAAAAGGAACACTACACTAAAATTAAACGGAGGGATAAATCTACGTCGTTTTCTGATTTGAGGTCGCGCCTCCATGACGAGTATCTGCTCTTTCAATACTAGTTTTTTTAACAGTTACACTTAAACAATGACTGATAGTCTAATTGAAAAGTTTCTTCAAGAAAGTATCTAATGAGATTAACTAGTAATCCGGTGCTAGGGGGCGTAGCAGATGATGCATCATCATCTATCATCAAAAATCTAATCTTGTAGTATTTATTTTCACTGTTCTAGAGGGATTTTTTCCAAAATTCATATTAACTTGCATTTCTGTTCATATAACATTTATCAGCATTTAAATCA